AGTGCTTTTCGGCATGGTTCTGCGCCTAGTGCGGGCGTGGGTGTCGTCTGGGTAGACGGTGACCGCAGGGAGGCCCGATGTTACTCGCTGGGTGAGAAGACCTCACAGTATGCTGAAGTAGCGGGGATCGTGATAGCGCTACGTAGCGCTAGGGACCATGGCTTCCGTGAACTGGTGGTTTGCACTGACTCGGACTACGCGCGTCTCAGTTTCTTGTGTCACCTACCAACGTGGAAGAGTAGCAGGTTCCAGACCGCTAGCCGGAAGCCCGTCAAAAACCAGGCCCTCTTCAGGGCGTGTGACATTCTGGTGACTGCACTTGACATGCACATTTACTGGCATAAAGTCAAAGGTCACTCTCGCGCACCCGATCCTGAAAAGGAGTTGAACGATCTTGCAGACTCTTTGGCCAAACAGGGCGCGACCGATGGTCCCTTGTGGGTTTTCGAACCCGGGTGGCTTGATGGACATGTGTGGTCTTTCCCTGATGAAAACCAGGTGTGTGTAGTTACTCGAGCTCGGGCTGCTAAAGCGTCCGACTCGGGACAACCCAAAGGTGCGGTGGCCGTTCAACTTGCCTATTCGGATACCGATCTTGTCAGTCTTCAATCCCGGGACCCTGCTATCAGCAGGATGATCAAGTACATTTCTGATCCTAAAACCCAGCTACCGACTTCCGTCGAGCTTGATTCCGTTCCAGAGCTTCGCTCTCTCTTTCGTGTGCGGTCTACGCTGAGGGTCGTCGAAGGGCTGCTGATGCACGCCGCCAAGCCTCCTTCGCCGCCTGTCCTTGTTACTCCAAAACCGCTGAGGAGGGACATGATCTCGCAGGCTCATGACTCTCCATCCGCCGGTCACAAAGGCGTCAAGGCCACGTTCGGTGCCCTGTGCCGGGTTGCTTATTGGCCGGGGATGCGTCGTGATATCTCGGACCACGTCGAGCGTTGCTTGGTTTGTTGTCAGTTTCAGCCGTCCAACCCTACGCACAGAGCTCCCCTACAGGAAAAAGGGCCGACCACTCCGTGGTCGGACTTGCAATTCGATTGGGTGGGGCCTCTGACCAAATCCACCAGAGGGAGTAAGTACACACTGACTGTCACCTGCACATTCACCAAATGGGTTGAATGTTTGCCAGCTCCTGATGACACGGCTAAGACTACAGCGGTCCTCTTGCTGAATCACGTTTTTGCCCGCTTCGGTTTGCCCACGAGGGTCGACTCGGACAGGGGTACCCATTTCACCTCTGACGTGATGAAACATCTTTGGGAACTGTTGGGTGTCAAGGCTAAGTTCCACATTAGCCACCGGCCCCAGTCTTCTGGACAGGTCGAAAGGGTGAACCGCACGGTTATCGGCATGTTAAAAAAGTACGTGAAAGCTAACCACCGAGATTGGGATGTGAAGCTTCCGTTGGTCCTCATGGCCATACGCGCTACCCCTCACGAGTCTACAGGTGTCTCCCCGTTTGAAATGATGACGGGCAGACAGATGACCCTACCGCTTCACCTACTGTATCAACGACAGGTTCAGTCCGACACAGCCCCGGCGTGTACGAGCAGCCAATACTTGCAGGACCTGAGAAATCACCTGCTTGCAGCATTCTCGTTCGCACAGGCATCTCTGGGAAAGTCAGCTGAAGGCAGAAAAACTTATTACGATAAGAAAGCCTCACATTCCGAACTCGATGTAGGTGACCAGGCCTGGTACTACATTTTCGCTCCCAAAACGGGTAACAACAATGCGACCTCGGGGAAGCTGGCTAAGAAACTTTTGCCCAGATGGTCGGGTCCATACCTGGTTACAGATAAGATCTCTCCGGTCGTGTATCAGATCAAGATCGCCGACAAAAACAAGAAGCCCGTCTACAAATGGGTACACAGGGACCATATCAAACTGCACAAGGGTCCCACAGATTTGGCCGATACCAAAAACAACAATCCACCGACTTCAAAAGGGGGGTGATAAATACGTCCCGTTGGTTCCACAGATTTCTATCTCTGATTACACAAATTTGTTTTATCTCTGATTACACAAATTTGTTTGTTTGTGAGTGTACATGGTTGTCTTTCCTGTTATACGTCACGTGCAGACTTAAGGTGTGTTGAGATGGACGTGCTGTGGGCTCCTGGAGTCAGGTAACAGTGAGTGGGTAAGGTCACATAGTACTGTTGTCCAAAATTTTGTTTTTTTAATCTTTACTAATCACAATTGCTTAGGGGTACATTGACATGAACATGATTACTAACCACTGATTTACATTTTAGTGCTTATTTACATTTCTGTTTTTTATAGTACCTTTGACCAGTTGATATTATCATGAGAAAAATTATGTTTGTGATTATCAATTCTTTGATTTATCCTGCGGGGCTACAACCAATTTTGCCCCTGTCCTGACAGCGTGTATTTACAGTGAGGATGCACTGATACCAGTTAGGGTTTCTTTCATTTTTCTGCTTCTCGCATCATCCCTTTTTGCATCTTACACAGTCAGGGCTGCATCCATTTCTTCACTTAATGGGTAATTACACTTAAAACTAACACATAGTACAAAAGGCACTCATAGAGTTAGGTTTTTATTATTTTTATTTCTTTGATGACATGAAATGCACTTTTGTCGTGTCTACATTGAAGTGCCTACACTGTGCTCTCTCTCCTCTGCTGAGCTTGTGAGGATCCTGCGTCCTGGGGGTGGATCCGTGACTCGTCATCTGCATCGACTACTCCTGAGGGTGCTCCGGCTCATTGGCCTTGGACGACTGTGGTTCCGGCATGGCTGCTGGGACACCTCATTCGTTGGGATTACTGTCACCCGCTCTTCCCTTTTTGTGGATTACGATAAGTACTCTTTCAAAGTTCAATTTTTATTTGGAATATTACCCTGCCTGCGGATACAACAATCGATTTTTAATTGGAATACTACCCTGTTCGTGGATACGTTCAAGATTTGCTCCTGCTTTGCTTTATTGCCCGTGAGGATATGAAGTTGCTGTTGCTTCGTTTATGGCTTCCATGGGGAATAATTAATAACCTGCTGACTTGTGTTCTTCCTGAGGAGTATGCGAGACTGTTCTCCGGCGTGGGGTTCGTGCCTCACCACAGATGGCTGTTCCCTTGGGATCGCATCCTGTTCTGTTGTCAAGATTCTTCATAACTTGGGTTTGTTCAACGACCAAGTGGTCTCTTGAAGGACCACATTGACCTTGAAAATGGGGGATATGTAAGGTTATGAAGTTCATTGTTTTCAACTCCATACAGCTGCCCCCTGGGCACAATAACACCGTGTAGAAAAACCAAGGTCGGGTGTTCCTCAGACTGTTTACATTCCAGGAGAAGAGTCCGAAGGAGAAGAAGAAGCTTTACTTAATCAAAGTACTTTATTTGTGATTAAAATTATTAAGCAAAACAGATGTTGATCAACAATAATCAAGTGAATGATCTGTGAAATAGATATGTCATGAATTATGTTTAATGAAACCAGGACTACGGCACAGACATACTGATCCTCATCTCCATAGAAACGCATGACACATTGTTCCAACCAATCAGAGCTTTCGGCTGCCGCAGGAGAATCTGGTGTTGACTTCAAGTGTCCAATCCACTTTACTCCAATTTATCAACAATTCAGAGATATAAAACAAGGCAACGTCATTTTAAGCTTAGTTCCATTTTGACTTCAGTTCTATTCAACATCATCCTAAAGAAAAGCACAGCCTGTCCAGATGTGTTTTCTTCTCTAAACTAAGAACTGTGAAACGGGAGATTTTCGTCGTTTAACAACCAGACGACGTCCTTTCAAAATAAGAGCACCTGCTGACGCCGACGAACGGTACCGGGGTCGACCCTCCAGACGGGCTTTGAAACGTTGCGACCGCTGCACCGACAGCTCCAGCGTACATCCGAGGTTCTTGGACCTGGCATTTCCTGATCTACCTGGGAGACCCCCACTGGGTACGTACACGGCAAAATAGCGGCTCATGTCATCACTTTATAAGCCTCGTGATATCTAGTCATAACAAAGACGACCAGATTCCTTTACGTCAGCCTAGAGAATCTGAACCAAACACACACACACACACGCACCAACACAACATCCGAATCCATTCTCATCCATCACAGAGTAGTCCTGGTAGATTGTTTAGAATTTATAATTCAGAAATTAAAGATTCTCAAACGATCCCATATCTCTCTCTTTTATTGTCTCAAAGTCAATACAGAGTGTTTAATTAAACTCCCTGATGATAAAAACAGCCTATTCTTCTGTTTATAAAAAGTGAACTACTAACAGTGTATTAAACTACAACTTTAGATAGTTACATCACTTCAATTCCGTTACACAGTTCATGTTCCACTAATGTTCAGAAGAACAGTTTATGTTCCACTAATGTTCAGAAGAACAGTTCATGTTCCACTAATGTTCAGAAGAACAGTTCATGTTCCACTAATGTTCAGAAGAAGGTTAAAGAACTGTTAATCCAGACATTTAAATCTGAATACAGCCATTATAGGTTTCTAAAGAAACCAAATAGTCGCTGAGAAATCAAATTACTTTTTTTATTCATTACTGATTTGTTGTATATTTTTCCATCTTATTTCATGTTAAATGAAAACAAAGAGATTTGAGAAGATGGTTTTTTTGACATTGCTTTTCTTGTGGAAAACCTAATGTGGCCCAGCCTCACCTAGAATCTGCCTTCAGCGGCCCTCAGCTGAACTGAGTCTGAGACCCCTGCTGTAAACTACAGTCATCCTGTTTCTCTTTATAGTTTTTTTTTTTACTAAAATCAGGAATATCCTGAGCTGTAAGAGAAGTAAAAGGAGAAAAATATTGGTTGGTCTGTGTGTGTGTGTGTGTGTGTGTGTGTGTGTGTGTGTGTGTGTGTGTGTGTGTGTGTGCGTGCGTGCGTGCGTGCGTGCGTGCGTGCGTGCGTGCGTGTGTGTGTGTGTGTGTGTGTGTGTGTGTGTTGGAGGGTTCTTGAGGACTGTGTGATGATGTCCCATACCTGCAGCAGCATTGGGGCTGGGCTGGGAGTGGGCTTTCCTGGCTCTAGCTGTGGGTGCATCACACGAGCTGCACCGTTCTGGTCCTGTCACAACAAACGGGTGGATCAGTGCAGAATAAAACAGAAGGTGAGCTGATCGCTGGGAGTCGGTACCTGTATCAGTCTTTTCAGGACCGACGTCGTCAGAGTGAGACAACTGCTTTCGGAAACCTTTGTGCTGATGACTTTCAACCAGAATGTTAGCCACCGACACTAGAGAGATGGCCTGACTCTCCTGTTACACACACATGGATAAAAGAGACATCATCCCCATTCACACATGTTGGCTCAGTCTGTGTGTGTCCTACCAAACTTACTGGGTTAAAGAGCTCAGTGGTCAGACCGAGGTAGTTGTGTAAGGCCAGGAAGGTAACTCTCTGCAGACGCACCATGATTATCTACAGGAAACACAACAGCATGATGGTAGGGGTCGTATATTCATGTAGTTCAGACTAAAATCATTCAGAGCTTCACCAAAACCACTAAGTTAAAACATGACCAAATGACAGACTTTGTAGTCGTGTTGCTAAACCTGTGGTCATGGGTTTTGGAAACCTGGTGGTTCAGATGGCAGGAGATGATGCCACACATAGACTAGTGAGGTTCTGCTGGGAACACCTGGCAGAAGAATCTGTCAAAAAGGTCTTCATGCCACCGCCCAGCAGAGCACTGACCAGGTCCTGAGAGCAGCTGCCCAACAGAAGGTATTTACTAGAGAAGTTCTACCTAAAGGTCCCTGGATGTGAGAGGCAGGCTCGGACGTAACGCTTGGCATCGACCACCGACGTGTGTGCCTGGGGGGATTTTAAACCTCAGCTCAGATTTACCTGAATGACGCGGACCAAGGTCTCAGGATATTTCTCAAAGACAGCCTGAAATGCAACCGCTGGAAGACGGAGGACTGCAGAGGGGACGGCGGCCCGGGCTGAGACGGTCTTGTATGGAGCCGGGTAGCCCTGAAGACACAAGAGTTCACTTAAACCAGAGCAGCTGTTTCAAAGCAGTGAGGACGACGGGCGGAACACATAGTAGTTCAAACATACGGTGATGACGTCGAGGATACTGAGCAGACTATGGACACTGTCTCCAGGGAGTACATCCTTCACAACAGCATCGGTACCATCCTGCAGGGACACACAAGCCAGACATCAGGAACACAGCCAACCAGCTGGGGGTCAGGCTGCTGCAGAGGGGATTTTAGTTCACCCGCACCACCATCAGAGTTCCTTACCGCTCAGGATATTCCTGATGTTAGTCAAAAACAGAGTTTTTATGAATTCAACATATCTTCACTCACATTATTATAAAAAAGTCTGAAAGATGCTCACCACACCACTATATGGTGATACAGCACGCATTACAGAGGCAGATCAAGAAGTCTACACTTTGGGATGGGATGGGCAGCAGCTATTAATTATTCTACCAGGCTACGTTCACACTGCAGAGAGAGGTCACCCACAAAGTTTTTATTTCATTTTTGAGAGTCAGAAAGACACAAAACAGCTTTCCCATCCTGTCCTGGGTCAGAACTGATGGAGAGAGTGGTGGGGTGCAACAGTTCTAGCTCCAAACCCATGGGATTAGATTAGTACAAGATTAGGAGCTCTCAGAGCACAAGCGAGAGGCGCACCAGTTAGATGGAGAACATTTTAACACTCGAGAGAAAAGGAAAGGGTTCGGAATGACACCTGATGATGGCCCCAGATCCTTAGGCGCTTTGGACGCGATCTCTTCTTGACCGGTTAAGTGGACCAATTTGTCTCGGAGCTTCAACATTTTAGTAATAAAGATCTGCACACGACAACAACACAACACAACGCAACAATGGAGGCCAAGATGAACACTGTGCTTGGCGGGTGGTTTCTGGTCAGACTCTGACTCGCTGAGAACAGTGAGACGAAACGCTCTGACTCAACCAGTCATTCCACCTCCTAGCCAGTCAGTGACATCACGTTCCCAACCTGGTTTGGTACGCTATGCTATGCCTGGAACTAGGGCAGCAGCTGCTGAATATTCTACCAAATCATGTGTCCATTAATCAGATAATTTATTTGACAAACCTGTAAGTGGAGAAAATTTTCTGATAAGTTTGTATTTTGAATTGAATTTTTTCATTCAGTTTATTTATAAAGCACCAAATCAGGTGAAGGGTCGTCTCAAGGCACATCACACAGTAAACATCCCGGTACAGGTCAGTTCATTAAGCCAATCAGTGAAACGTTTCCTACATAAGGAACGCAGCAGACTGCATTTTAGAATCCACTCATATGATTCCTTTTCAATAAATGCCAATTACTGTCATGTCCCACAGGGAAGTGTGTATCTGGTGTTGAAGGCAAAAATCTTCTTGTGGAAGGCATCATCTTCTACCACTGAAGGAGCGCGCACGTCAGTCAGCTCAGATGAACACAGCTCAGTCTGTCGCTGTCGTTGTGTCCTTGGGCAAGACACTTAACCCACGTAGCCTGCTGGTGGTGGTCGGAGGGACCGGTGGCGCCAGTGCTCGGCAGCCTCGCCTCTGTCAGTGCGCCTCAGGTCAGCTGTGGCTAAAGTGTAGCTCATCACCATCAGGGTGTGAATGTGTGTGTGAATGGGTGAATGACTGTGTTGTAATGCTCCTTGGGGGGTTCCAGGACTCTAGAAGGCGCTATATCAAATACAGGCCATTTACCATTTACCATTTGTTTATTTGAAAACTATTTACAGAGCAGCCTCAGAATTGAGATTAAATATTTTTGATCACAATAGTAAAGGAAGTATTACAGAACAAGTTTTTCACTAAAATCAGAACATTAATATTTAAGTGGATGAATTAATGCATCTGAACTCATGCAGCAGGAACTAGGAATATTATAAATACTAGAACCAGACACAACTTTTTTTAATTTGATTAAACTGAATTTTTCCTAACATTGTTGGCATTTTTCCCCACACACAGTTAAACAAAACAATGTTGATTAAGGTGTGTGTGTGTGTGTGTGTGTGTGTGTGTGTGTGCGTGCGTGCGTGCGTATGTGTGTGTGTGTGTGTGTGTGTGTGTGTGTGTGTGCGTGCGTGCGTGCGTACGTGCGTGCGTGCGTGCGTGTGTGTGTGCGTGCGTGCGTGCGTGCGTGCGTGCGTGCGTGTGTGTGTGTGTGTGTGTGTGTGTGTGTGTGTGTGTGTGCGTGCGTGCGTGCATATGTGTGTGTGTGTGTGTGTGAGAGAGATAGAGAGGGAGAGAGAGTTAAAATAATTTTTAAAAACCCCGACTGGAGCGGAGGCGGTGACCAACGCATGCACGAGCCGTTTTCAGCTCTGTCTTGCCAAATGCACCACGTATGTTACGAAAAAAGTAACTTTAAATATTCAACCCAAAAAGAGGCGAGCTGAAGAAAACCTAGGGAGTAGTGAAGAAACGTCAGCAACAGTGAAGCAAGCACTGAGAGATGTGTTACTGTGTGTGTGCATGGACGCATGGGACGGACAGAGCTCCCGGCTGCGGAGTTTTGTGTGTAGGGAGGGGCGGCCGCCCTGTGACTGGCCAATCACAGAGCGTGAAGGCAGTCAGTTACCCAATGAGGATTTTTCTTCAGCATGATTACAGATATTTACTCGTTTCATGCTTGTATTCGTCAAAAATGCTTTATCCGTACCAGATACTCGTCTGAAACGAGTACCCGGCTCATCCCTAGCTGTGACCACCCTGCCCTGCCTCCTCCTCCTTGCTGCCTGCCGGCTGTGATCACAAGCAACAACAGAGTAGTTCCTGCTGCTTCTTCGGGAAACAGAGCAAAAAAATAGAATAAATCTATAAAACGGGATCTTGAAGGCGTGGCGCAGGGATTTCAGCCGTGGCGGGCCGCCACGGCTACGTCTATGTAAGGGAAACACTGAGCTGAGAGGCTGTGAGGGTAGGGGGAGATGATCAAACTTTAAGCCAAAGTAGCTACGAGCTAACTGAAGCCAACAGAGAACAGTGGGGACTTTAAGGCAGGAGACCACGACTGAGTGACCCTCTGCCTTCTAGGCTGTTAATGTGAGGCCAAGGGCTTCCCTGAAGCAAGTCGCTAGCAATAGCACGTACATTCATGCTGCCTGTCAATCAAAAGGGAGTGCCCCTAAACATTCATAATTTCAAGCTTTAATTACATCTAAATGGATGAGTTACAAAAATACTCACCCCTCAGTTGTCATGACTGTAGACTACTAGACTGTAGACTACTAGACCTATTAAACCTAAACTGGTTTTTGAACCAGGTTGTAAACATGTTTATTTCTGCTGGAAAGTTAGCATTTTTAACACAGGAGTCAATGGGAGTTGCTCCTTTCTGGAGCCAGCCCCAAGTGGAAGAGGGGGGAACTTCTGTGTTGGCTTCACATTGGAAACAGGAGTTTGTCTCCTCTGTCCGCAGCCATCCTGCTGCAGCGATCCACAAACAGGGTGGTGGGGAGTTTTTTTCTACTGTAGTTCATTCATTCTAAGATTAACGTGTTTCTGCTGCAGTCCGTTCGTTTTACACAGCCTCCGACCAGTAAGAGAATGACTGCAGGAACGTTATGAACTGAAGCGTTAGTTAGTTAAAATACTGGACCAACCCACATTGATGTCACCTGAAGGTTGTTAGACCCCAATGGGTGGTTCCAATCGACGCCATCTTGGGCCTGTCACACATCTCGTCACTCCCAAACAATAAAAAATGGACAAAGAGGTGGAGCGGAGAGTGGGGCTCCACAGGCAGCCAGCTCTACTACAGCCTCACTCAGCAGCAATGGGAGCCAGGCTGCTCCCCCGGGGGACGGGAGCAGCAGCTTCACGGATCTCTGAGCTGCTGCTGCTGAAGGGAGGGAGGTGGTCACACACAGCAAGTGTATAGCCTTCCAGGGCAAATGTAGGTCACTTCAGAGTTACAGACTGTTCCCCCTGCCGTCTGATGGTGGTCACACTTAAACTATAGAGTACACAACCAATTAGAAATATTGGGCTGAGCATTAAGGCCTGTGAACGTATCTTTTTTGAGTCTGCAGCAAGTAATTTTCCCTTCAAAATAAAAGCTCAACTGCCCTGTTTTACCCTCAGAAGCTGAGTTATTCAGTCTTACACTCTCATGGATGCAAAGCTCCAGACGGCCATCTTGGACCACATAAATGCTGTCATCTGTGTCACCGGGTCGGAACAGTCCCTCCCCCTGGTGCAGCTGGATCAGAACCATGTGACGACACAGCTCGAGGAAGACCGGCTTCTCAAAGTGACCCAGAACCCTGAATGTGATAATGAAAAGTGACAACATCAAAATTCACAAGGATTTAAATGGTTTTCTGTAGGGATGCACGATATATCTAGCCTGGCCTGCCAGACTCCTCTGTTTAATTCTGCACAGAGAAAGGGTCTGGGACCTCTCCTATTTCAATAACCCCACCCCCTGAGAATTCTAACAGAGCCAATCAGCGCTGAGTAGAATAACGTCACACACCATAACGCCGAGTTTGTCATAAATATGGCGACTGAAGTGGAGTTCGCTGCGGCTCTTTCCTTTGTTCTAGATGACTTGAATGTCTTTAAAACAACAAGTAGAAGCGCTAAAAGCCGTTCTTCTAAAGAAATATGTTTGCGCTGTCGCAAGACTATTTTTGACTAGAGCTAAAAAACTACGGCGTCGCGCGGTACAGTCGGCATTTCCATCTTTTTTCTGATTGGTTATTTTTGAGCTGCCTAGTCCCGCCCCTCAAGTGCCTCTCTGCCTGTGAGTTACCAGACTCTCTCTCTGTGCAGAATCAAACAGGACGAGTCTGGCAGGCCAGGCTAGATAAATCAGCATCGATATTGGTCTTGGCCGATGTTAGTCATTTTTTTAATACATCGGTATCGGTCTGAGAAGTAAAACTGGGCCATTATTAACAACCTATGTTTTCCACCTTGTTTCTGCTTTGTATCTGTCAGAGGGTGATGATGTGTAATTGTTTGTCATGTGACAGTGACGATAATAATTTCAGAGGTGTAAATGTGTGTGTGTACAGTGCTCAGCATAAATGAGTACACCCCGCTACATTTGTCAGAAATCCTTTAGTTTTCTTTCAGAATCAACATTTTCTTTGAGATACCAAACTACAAATGTGGGCCATTGATTGCAAACTAGATTTGTTAATTTGAACTCAAAAAAGTGATTTCCTAAATATATCCATTAAAGCCCACAATGCAAAACTGAGTACACCCCAATTTTAATCTTAGGAGAAAAGCCACACGTTCAAATGAACAGACTTCAACCACAGGTGAGTCTAGGTTCATTAGGTGTCCAGCAGACAGGTGACTATAAAAGGACATTACGTAACAAAGAAAAGCACTTCCTGTTTCATGCTGTCAGCAACGGCTCCACATGGATGAGAAATCTGAGAAAGGAATTCATTTCTTTACACAAAAAGGTGAGGGCTACAAGAAGATCAGCAGAGCTTTCATATCAATCAGAATACTGAAGCAAAAGTGATCCAATCATTTAAGAAAGATGGAAGTACAACCATCTTACAGAGAGGTCCAGGCCGTCCACAGAAGTTAACATCTCTACAGGAGCATCTTCTGATGAGAAGGGCTGAAGAAAATCACCATGCAAGTTCACTGCAGTTAGCTAAAGCAGTAGAAAGCCAAACTGGAGAGACCGTTCCCGTGACACCATACGGAGCACTCTGCAGAGGAATGGCGTGCATGGGTATCGTCCATGAAGGAAGCCTCTCCTAAAGCCCATGCACATAAAAGCACACCTAGGATTAGCCAGGGTCCATGCTGGAAGAGAAGAAGACTACTGGGGCTTTAGACTTTGGAGTGACGAGACAAAGATCACGGTTTCTGGAACTAATGGTTTCAGAACTGTATGGGGTCGTAAAGGTGAGGATCTCAAAGAGAAATGCATGGTGCCTACAGTGAAACACGGTGGTGGCGGTGTCCTTATGTGCGCTGCATGAGTGCTGCTTGTGTTGGGGAGCTGCATTTCATTGATGTTATCATGAACTCAACAATGTACTGCTCTATACTGGAGGAGAAGATGCTGCCATCACTCCGTGCACGTGGTAGTCGTGCACTTTTCCAACACGACAATGATCCAAAACACACATCTAAAGCTACTGTTGTATTTCTGAAGAAGAACAAGGTGAAGGTGACTGAATGACCAAGTATGCCTCCTGATCGGAACCCAATCCAACACCTGTGGGGAATTCTGAAGCAGCAAGTTGAGCATCAGTCTCCATCCAGCATGCAGGCTCTAAAAGACGTTCTTGAAGAATGGAGAAAGATAGATGTTGCAACATGTCGCCATGTCGTTCGTTCCATGCCTAGAAGACTTGGTGCTGTCCTTGAAAATCACAGTTGTCCTACGAAACACTAGATGTAGTAGTTTCTGTTGTGGGGTGTTTTCATTTTTGCTTCAACCAGTTTTAGGATTTTGTGATCTAAGTTCTATTATTAACCTCAATTTCATGTTATTGAGTTAAAATTGGGAGACGGTGGCACAGGAGTTAAGTGCACGCCTCGCAATCGGAAGGTTGCAGGTTCGAGCCCCGCTCAGTCTGTTGCTGTCGTTGTGTCCTTGGGCAAGACACTTAACCCACCTTGCCTGCTGGTGGTGGTCGGAGGGACCGGTGGCGCTGGTGTACAGCAGACTTGCCTGCCCCAGGGCAGCTGTGGCTACAATGTAGCTCATCACCACCAGAGTGTGAATGGGTGAATGACTGTGTTGTAAAGCACCTTGGGGGGTTCCAGGACTCTAGAAGGCGCTATATCAAATACAGGCCATTTAAACAAGTGTTCAATAAAATCCAGCTGTGTGAAAAGTCTGGAAATTGTTCTTTTGTTCATTGAGTCAATGATTAAATTTGTACTTTTTAAAAGGGGTGTACTCATTTATGCTGAGCACTGTATTTATACGCATTAGATAGATGGATGGATGGATGGATGGATGGATGGATGGATGGATAGATGGATATAGATGATATCTGCCATAACAGCGATATGAATTTCTGATATCTGCCCAAATTTCCTATCGGTGTATCCCTAGGTTCCTGTCCTTTAAGTCAGTCACCACACCTGATTTCATCTGGACTGACATTTGTACCAACCTGACGTTTTTTAGCATGTACAGAACCTCGGAGGGCAGGTGGGAGTTCTGCACATCGAACTGGGTCAGGTCAGCCTCCAGCAGGCAGGGTGGAGGCTCTTTGGGCTGCAGGGTGGGTGGCTCCCTTCGGATGCGCAGGATCCTGACACAAAACGATAAAATACTTCCTTTGCTACTTGGACTCTTGTTATTCTGTGAATTTCCTGTGACAAAGCCAGACTAAGATCCTGAGATCAGGACTCAAGTCGTCTAAAAGCTCCTGAGCCAGTCTCACTTGCGAGCTAAGGACAGGACTTTGGTCCTCTTCCTCCCTCGTTGCCGTGAGGAGTTCAAGTTGGAAGCAGGCGCGGTGGACAACGTCTGGACCTGAGGGACAGGAGACACTCTGAATGTTACTTAGCAGATGAATAACTGCTGTATACATTGGGTCCTAAAACAGCTTTTTTCTCTGAAAAGATGAATACTATCCTGTTTGCTCTAAATTAAGGATGCTAAAGTGTTTTTTATTTGCCACGACATCATAAAATGTGGAGGACTGCTGTAACTTTTTTCTGATTGGCTTAATGAACTGACCTGTATTGGAATGTTTACTGTGTGAAGTGCCTTGAGACGACTCTTGTCGTGATTTGGCACTACATAAATAAACTTGAATTGAATAAACAAAATGATGCCTAATTTTGTTGAACTACAGTGAGAGAACATCAGGACTGCTGGGTGTAAACAACATGATGAAATCAATCAGCTGATGAGTGCGTTCGCACCCCACTAACCTTTCTCATGATCTTTCGGCCGTAGAACATCACCTTGTCCCTCTTTCTGAAGCGGTAGTGAGGAACACCAGCCTCTTCCTCTGAGACAAACAAGTTGTCAGTGAGACCACCCAGCTGCTCTTTATGTGTCATAAATATTGTTTGATGTATTAAAATTGTGAAGTGGTCTTCTTTTGATTTGATGGTTTGTGTTGCTGGAAATCATGAATTATTTTATCTGCCAACCTGCCCACCCCTGGGAGGGGTTACCATAACGACACCATGGCAGCTCTTGGAATGAAGGTTTCTAACAGGTTGGTGACAGATATTTTAAACCCAAAAGATATAACAGGATCACCGTTTGCTGATCCAGAATCTGTGGTAAAAGGGAGGAATGTATTGAAGAATTCCTCCACTGTTTGATCAAGCTATTGACTGTAAAATAAAGACTTCAGCACTCCATTAGCACAGGGTGTTTGATAGAGATTTGTCACCCTCTAAAAACTGCTGGGTTTTTCTTTAGACTCTGTAGTTTTAGATTTACTGGCTTTTAATGGCTGAAAGACTACATCCTGGTCTTTTTTGTCCACTATACCAGAAGAAGATACTGATGACTCACTTAGTCTCGCCTGTGTTCATTAGGAAAATATCATCAAGCCTCTTCAAAATAAGTACAACTTACTTGTTACTTTTTGGAGTACACATGGAGGTTTTTATATTGTTGTTATTATTATTATTGGCCTATTATTATTATTTGGCCTGTCATCCAAAAGTGAAGATCAAAAACGATGTTTTTTTTTTTTCAAAAAACAATGACCCAAGTGTAGACATGCAACTTCTCCGCTGTCAGCATTTGCTTGTGGACGCTGCTATGTGTTGGCATGATCCATTTTCATGTAGTCTGGCCACGACCCATTGACAAAGCTCAGTAGTCGGGCGGGATCTACGGTTGTGTTTCAAACTGCCTCCACATGCTATTGGACAACAAACAACGTGACGTACTCGCCGCTACAGACGTCAGTCCACGAGGCAGTCCGCCCTACTCCATCGAAGAAAACACGAACATTTCCCTTTTTTAAATAAAACACTTAAAGAGCAAGTCACCCCCTACCAGAGTCTAACCCCACTCTCATTTTCTGTTTGAAAAATGCACCACAAGGAGGCGTTGCCTGGCACACCGAGAGGGCAGGGCCCCTAACAAACACACACAGGCTCACAGCAGCATTGTGACATTATATGGTACCAGCTAACGTCATAGGGTACCTATCAGCCAATAGCGATGGCAGATTTAAATTCAATTATAGTGCAGTTTTTACCTGAAGAGGGCGCAACACTGACAGTTTTAGGAAGAATATTTAAATTTTAACTAAGATGCACTAAAGTACTAAATTATTGACTGTATTTGTCTACAGCATGATTAGACACTCATTTATATAGTTTATCAGCAAAAAAAGTTGATTTGTGGGTGACTTGTTCTTCAAGTACCTATCTGCTCATGACTCAAAGAAAAGCCCAAGTCTATACAGGGAGCACAGAATTATTAGGCAAATGACTATTTTGTCCACATCATCCTCTTCATTCAAGCTGTATAGGCTCGAAAGCCTACTACCAATCAAGCATATTAGGTGATGTGCATCTCTGTAATGAGAAGGGGTGTGGTCTAATGACATCAACACCCTATATCAGGTGTGCATAATTATTAGGCAACTTCCTTTCCTTTGGCAAAATGGGTCAAAAGAAGGACTTGACAGGCTCAGAAAGGTCAAAAATAGTGAGATATCTTGCAGAGGGATGCAGCAGTCTTAAAATTGCAAAGCTTCTGAAGCGTGATCATCGAAAAATCAAGCGTTTCATTCAAAATAGTCAACAGGGTCGCAAGAAGCATGTGGACAAACCAAGGTGCAAAATAACTGCCCATGAACTGAGAAAAGTCAAGCGTGCAGCTGCCAAGATGCCACTTGCCACCAGTTTGGCCATATTTCAGAGCTGCAACATCACTGGAGTGCCCAAAAGCACAAGGTGTGCCATACTCAGAGACATGGCCAAGGTAAGAAAGGCTGAAAGACGACCACCACTGAACAAGACACACAAGCTGAAACGTCAAGACTGGGCCAAGAAATATCTCCAGTCTGATTTTTCTAAGGTTTTATGGACTGATGAAATGAGAGTGAGTCTTGATGGGCCAGATGGATGGACCAGTCCTGGATTGGTAAAGGGCAGAGAGCTCCAGTCCGACTCAGACGCCAGCAAGGTGGAGGTGGAGTACTGGTTTGGGCTGGTATCATCAAAGATGAGCTTGTGGGGCTTTTCGGGTTGAGGATGGAGTCAAGCTCAACTCCCAGTCCTACTGCCAGTTTCTGGAAGACACCTTCTTCAAGCAGTGGTACAGGAAGAAGTCTGCATCCTTCAAGAAAAACATGATTTTCATGCAGGACAATGCTCCATCACACGCGTCCAAGTACTCCACAGCGTGGCTGGCAAGAAAGGGTATAAAAGAAGAAAAACTAATGACATGGCCTCCTTGTTCACCTGATCTGAACCCCATTGAGAACCTGTGGTCCATCATCAAATGTGAGATTTACAAGGAGGGAAAACAGTACACCTCTCTGAACAGTGTCTGGGAGGCTGTGGTTGCTGCTGCACGCAATGTTGAGGGTGAACTGATAAAAACACCGACAGAATCCATGGATGGCAGGCTTTTGAGTGTCCTTGCAAAGAAAGGTGGCTATATTGGTCGCTGATTTGTTTTTGTATTGTTTTTGAATGTCAGAAATGTATATTTGGGAATGTGGAGATGTTATATTTGTTTCACTGGTAAAAATATATAATTGAAATGGGTATATATTTGTTTTTTGTTAAGTTGCCTAATAATTATGCACAATAATAGTCACCTGCACACACAGATATCCCCCTAAAATAGCTAAAACTAAAAACTACTTCCAAAAACATTCAGCTTTGATATTAATGAGTTTTTTGGGTTCATTGAGAACATGGTTGTTGTTCAATAATAAAATTATTGGGCCTGCTGAGTATGGGGAGAAGAAAAAGTCTAAAAAGATCTGTGTGTGTGTGTGTGTGTGTGTGTGTGTGTGTGTGTGTGTGTGTGTGTGTGTGTGTATCTAGATTTGTGTGTGCGTAACCAAAGAACTGTGTGTGTGTGTTGATAGATCTATGCATGTATAACTCTTGATTTGTAACTTGTGTTTACATTTTAGTGTGTAACTTCGGCTTCTACACATACGAATCAATCACTGATTACACACACACAAATCACCTGGTACACACGGACAAAACTACAATACACACAGATAAGTTTACAAGTACAAACACATTTTTGAGGCTCTGTCTTTTCTCACCCAACTGATTTGTGTGTACATGGTGCATTTGAATGCTGGGTGGAAGCTGGGAAATTTGAACTTCCTTTGGATTTAGTCTAAACTTATGTTTAAAGGACAAATGTGTTTTCTGTGGAAAAATTGAGTATCTCGGGATTCTGTAGTTATAAAAGATACACCTAAATTTACTTTTTAATAATCTAAATTTGTTTATTTAGACATATATGTGTTTATGAGCCATGGAAACGTAGTCAAAGAGTTATAAGACATTACCACTAGATGACAGAGTGGTTCTCTGTCCGGAAAAAGCAGGCTTCAAGCAGGGACAAGGCACCAGAATATTGTGCAATGTCCTGGTGATCTTTCCTCTGAAGCAAGTAAAAGTTAAACCTGCTCGCTTTGCAGTCCGGTTATAATGAGACAGCTTTTATTTTAAACCATTTTGGACGTTTATAGGTCTGGTTTGTCCTAAAGTTCAAGCGGTAGCAGCCGGCTGTTTCTCCTTCTCTGGTGTTATTGAGAAGAGAACCTCTCACACCAGTGGTTCTGTTGCTAAATACATGAGTGTGTGATGAGGGGAGGACCCAGGGAAGTGTAGCGGTTCGGTGAGATCGACAACCTGGTCCGATAGTTGCTTTGAGTCCGAAACGTGTTATTGGTGGTTTTTAGACAAATTCGAGAGAACCTCTTTATTAGTTTTGGAAAAATGTGAGACTACTTTGTTTTGAGCATAATGAGAAAGTAGCAAAGCGGTTCTCACGGGATCGTTTTAGACCAATCCCGTGCAGGCATTTAATAAACATGAAAGAGCGGGGTACTCGAAGTCAGAAAATAGTAGCAATTATGATTTTAAGGTGCATTGTGTAGAAATTAAGTAAAAATGACATCCTGTGGTAACATTTGGTTACTGCAACCACTTTAAACAACTCTGGAGCTTTTGCCAGCTGTCGTCAAATTACAATTGTTGTCGCTGCGGTATTAGCTCACAGGAGACACAGCAACCCCACACTCATGGATGGTCTACAGTCGTTACGTCCCTTCTTCCTTTGTTTGTGAAGGAGGAAAACTGACAATCCCTGCGCCAGCTGGATGTGAAATATGTTTCAGTATGACCTTCCTTCCAACGGGACTGAAACATTAGACTCTTTTGGGATTTTCTCACTGTAAAAGTCTTACTATATTATTACATACTGCACCTTTAAAATCAGGAGCAGAGAAACTAAAGCATGTTGAATGATGGACCTCCAGGACCAGGATTGCTTATCCCTGACTTAGACATTAGTTTTTATTCATGTTTGGATAAAAACAAACATTATCTTGTCCCACCAATTCATCAGGAATCAGCTATAGAGAGAGCTGCCATGTTTGAAAAGATTTCATTCAGACCAGATTAATCGATGTAATCTGTGGTCCTCCCACTGACTTAGTTAGCGCTGGCTGGATTATGTGAGATTTACACTGATACTAGAAGTGGACTGCTGATTCTGGTGTGACTTTTACACTAAATTGTGTGGCACTGTAGGACATGCAGAATGTGAAGGAACTGACTTGATGTTCTGTATCTTCTGTAAAGAAGAAATACAAAAGCTCCAATAACGGAAACAGCGGTCCCAACTCCAGCCAGCATGAAAATCCACTGGAAGAGAAACAGAACATCGTTCAGCCAGCAGGAGCTCGTTACATAAACCACCTCAGAAGAAACATCTGGATCATCTGATTGGATCAGGATGGATCACATTGAAAAAAACACATTGACTCAAAAGTGAATTACATTATGTTGTAACTCGTTTAAAAGCAACAAATGATAAAAACGTTATGTGAGGATAGTGTGGTAGGGGGTCGGGGATCCAGCAGATCTTCGCAGAACCACAGTGGCTTCAACTCACCAAACTGGGCTCAGTGCTTTCCTCCATAACCGGATCCATCTCTGCTGAGCAGAACCGGGTCCTGATAGGTCCAGCACAAAACCCAGACTTCAGCCGGACTGAGGGGAGAAAGACATTTCAGGAGAACGGGGTGTGTTTTTAACGACACAGACTCAGTAATCTGGTCAACTCATTAGATCCGCTGTCATGATGACTTCAGACTCTGGCGGGCTGAGATTAGACCAGAACACAGAACAACACGTCTGCTTCTGTAAAGCGATCGGCCTGAACTCAGAGGGCTCCCGGCCGACCCACACCACGAATATCTGGGTCAAAGGTCACCCACTCCAATCCCAGTAGGTTTACTGAGCCAGACCCTAATGTAACTACGACCGAAGAGAATCTAAAGATTCATAGATGTCGAGATTCTGTCCAGTGACGTTTTTTTGGGTCTAAACGCGGGAAAATAAACTTCTTAACTAGCTAAAACTAAGTTGGAACACGGAGCTAAAAGTTTGGCTGCAGAGTGGGTTCCGTCTCCACAGCACGAGTCAGACAACAACAAAGAAACCCTCATTAACCCGCCCTCTGTACACAACTGCACCAAAGACAACGGAGGAAACTATTTCCTACCTGCCTGGAGTCCGTTACTGTTTACCAGCTCACTCTGTAGGAAGAATAAGAGTGGCTTCCTGTTAGCTTTTCACAATAAATCACTTAGTGCAACAACAACAACAACAAAAAACTTCATCATCACTTCTCTTTAATATTTAAAGAAAAGGTTTCTCCTAAATACTCCTCACTATGTAGTTAACTGGCATTTTCAGTCGTGATAAACACAACTTGTTACCATTTATTTTGAAAAACATCTCGTCTTAATCTTTAAAGGTGCAGTATGTAAAAATATAGTGAGAATTTTACAGTGAAACAAAAAAAAACAAAATAGTTTAATGTTTCAGTCATTTGGAAGGAAGGTTATACTGAAACCAGTGTTTCCCTTACATAGACGTAGCCGTAGCGGCCCGCCACAGCTGAAATCCCAGTGCCACGCCTACAAGATCCCAAGTTTTATTGAATTTTTTTTTGCACTGTTTCCCAAAGAAGCATCAGGAACTAGTTTGTTGTTGCTTGTGATCACAGCCGGCAGGCAGCAAGGAGGAGGAGGCAGGGCAGGGTGGTTACAGCTAGGGATGTGTCACGTTGAGGGGATGGTTAGGACCCAATATGCAGATTACCCAGACGACAAGAGGCAGGAGTTGGTAAAAAGTAAAATCCTTTAATTGGCCGGATGAAACAAAATAAATCCACAAGGCAGCGAGCCAAAATCCAAAAGTCCTGGAACACAGGACACCTAAAGCTCACTTAGAGCACCAAAGTCAGGCATCAAAAGTCCTGGAACACAGGACACCTAAAGCTCACTTAGAGCATCAAAGTCAGGAATCAAAAGTCCTGGAACACAGGACACCTAAAGCTCACTTAGAGCACCAAAGTCAGGCATCAAAAGTCCTGGAACACAGGACACCTAAAGCTCACTTAGAGCACCAAAGTCAGGAATCAAAAGTCCTGGAACACAGGAAACCGAAAGCTCTCTTAGAGCACCAAAGTCTGGAGACATAAAGCTCACATAGAGCACGAAACAACGCTGACAACAATAACAAACAATGGACCGGCAAGACAATGAGACACAGAGAGGGCTTTATACACTGGGGCATGATGGGAGGCAGATGAGCTGCAGGTGTGAGGGGAGAGAACAGGTGAAAGTAATAACTAATCAGGGAGGAGGAGCAGGAGAGGACACCAGACCTAACCGGGGAAGGACACACACACACACCTAACTGGAGGAGGACATAAACACACACACACACACACACACACACACACACACACACACACACACACACAACTGAAATAATAGACCTATGGAAACTATGGTGGGGAGACTGAAGGAACACAGGACCTGAGAGGGAATATCTGGAGGGCTGAAGACCAGGGGACACAAGAGGAACACAAAGAGACACAGACACAGACCATGACAGGATGAGCCGGATACTAATTTCAGACGAGTATCCAGTACAGATAAAGCTTTTTTGACGAATATGAGCATGAGACGAGTAAAACTCGTAAATATCTGTAATCGTGCTGAAGGAAAATCCTCATTGGGTAACTGACTGTCTTCACACTCTGTGATTGGCCAGTCACATAGAGCACCTGCCCCTCCCTACACACAAAACTCTGCAGCCAGGAGCTCAGTCCGTCCGGCCCATCCACGCACACACACACACACAGTAACGGATCTCTCAGTGCTTGCTTCACTGTTGCTGATGTTTCTTCAGTAGTCCCTAGGTTTTCTTCAGCTGGCCTCTTTTTCGGTTTAATATTTAAAGTAACTTTTTCGTAACATACGTGGTGCATTTGACAAGACAGAGCTGAAAACGGCCCGTGCATGCGTCGTCACTGCCTGCGCTCCGGTCGGGTTTTGTTTTTTTAATTATTTTAACTCTCTCTCCTTCTCTCTCTCACACACACCTCAATCAACATTGTTTTGTTTAACTGTGTGAGAGAAAAATGCCAACAACGTTAGGAAAAAATCAGTCGTCGTCGTCTTCCTCTGCTTATCCGGGTCCGGGTCGCGGGGGCAGCATCCCAACTAGGGAGCTCCAGACCGTCCTATCCCCGGCCACCTCCACCAGCTTCTCCGGCAGGACCCCAAGGCGTTCCCGGACCAGATTGGAGATGTGACCTCTCCAACGTGTCCTGGGTCGACCCGGGGGCCTCCTGCTGGCAGGACATGCCCGAAACACCTCCCCAGGGAGACGTCCAGGAGGCATCCTGACCAGATGCCCAAACCACCTCAACTGACTCCTTTCGATCCGGAGGAGCAGCGGTTCTACTCTGAGTCCCTCCCGAATGTCCGAGCTCCTCACCCTATCTCTAAGGCTGAGCCCGGCCACCCTACGGAGGAATCTCATTTCGGCCGCTTGTATCCGCAATCTCGTTCTTTCGGTCATTACCCAAAGCTCATGACCATAGGTGAGGACGTAGATCGACCGGTAAATCGAGAGCCTGGCTTTCTGGCTCAGCTCCCTCTTCACCACGACAGATCGGTTCGGCGTCTGCATCACTGCAGACGCCGAACCAATCCGCCTGTCGATCTCCCGATCCCTCCTACCCTTGCTCGTGAACAAGACCCCGAGATACCTAAACTCCTCCACTTGAGGTAGGACCTCTCTCCCGACCCGGAGTTGGCAAGCCACCCTTTTCCGGTCGAGAACCATGGTCTCAGATTTGGAGGTGCGTTAGGAAAAAATCAGTTTAACCAAATTTAAAATAAAATGGTTCTAGTATTTCATATTTCCTAGTTCCTACTGCATGAGTTCAGATGCATTAATTCATGCACTTAAATATTAATGTTCTGATTTTACTGAAAAACTTGTTCTGTAATAGTTCCTTTACTATTGTAATCAAAACAATTTAATCTCAATTCTGAGGCTGCTCTGTAAATAGTTTTCAAATAAACAATACACATAGCAACTTCTGATCAACCCATATCAATTTCAGATTTAAAATAATGCATTGATGTAAACCACACCCACTAATTTCCAAATAATAAATAATTAGGTGCATTCATCTGTGTATCTCCTTTGATCTGCATTAATGATGTTTTCAGCACCAGAACAATGAAACAAAGAAACAGATTCCTGAGTTTATGTTAGTAATTTTATTTATTAGGTGCATCTGACCTGTTCTATTTTTCTCTGAAATGAGATCAAATCAGTGCTTCTATGGGTGTCACAATGGTCGACTGGGTACGGGAGTTGAGCTTGGTAAGAATGTTTGATGTCTGGATTATTCGGTAGAGAACTCTGATCAAGGGTTTCAATGAAACGATGACTGAGTGAAGAGCCGTTGCGGCGTCTTCCATATATAGGCTTGGGTGTGACTGGGAGAATGCCGGGAGTTCCCGCGAGGAGCATGCTGGGAAATGTGGTCCAAGATGGAGGCCGGTTAGCTGGGAGAGGCCAGTCTGGGGGCTTGGGTTCTGACAGGACCCCCTGGTCCAGGGACGGCTCCAGAAGTCCCAGGGCGACCTCGGCGGTCCCAGAAGTCAGAGACAAGGGCAGTGTCCAAGATGGAGCGGGCCGGCTCCCAGGAGCGTTCCTCAGGACCGTAGTCCGCCCAATCGACCAGATACTGCCAGCCCCGTCCCCTGCGGCGAGCGTCCAGGATGCGCCGGACGGTGTAGATGGGATCACCGTCGAGGAAGCGGGCAGGCGGAGGCGCCGGAGCCGGAGGCGGAAGGAGGGAGGATTCCACGTAGGGCTTGAGCCGGGAGATATGGAAGGTGGGATGGATGCGGAGACTCGCAGGCAGCCGCAGCCGGTACGTGACCGGGTTGATGACCCTTTGCACGGGGTAAGGCCCAAGGAACCGGGGAGCGAGCTTCCTGGACCCGGCACGGACACGGAGGTCTGCCGTGGACACCCAGACCTTATCCCCTGGAGCATATGAGGGACCAGGACGGTGTCGGCGGAGGTGTTGGTGAGAGTAACGGGCGTTAGCTCGGGTTATGGAGGCCCGCGCCTTTATCCAGGCGTTCCTGCAGCGCCTCACCAGGGATTGAGCGGCCGGCACTGCAACTTCGGGTTCCTGGTGGGCAAAGACCGGGGGCTGGTAGCCATAGCAGACTTTGAACGGGGACATCAGAGTGGCCGAGGAGGTGTGGAGATTGTGGGATAACTCAGCCCAGAGGAGGTACTTAGGCCACTGCGAGGGTTGGGCCGAGACAAAGCAGCGGAGGTACCGACCCAGTTGTTGGTTTGCCCGCTCCGTTTGGCCGTTGGTCTGCGGGTGATAGCCCGAAGATAGGCTGACTGATGCTCCCAACAGATGACAAAAAGCCCTCCAGAACCGGGCCGTGAACTGGGGACCACGGTCCGAGACCACGTGACAGGAAACCCATGGAGACGCACCACATTCTCCAGGAACAACTCAGCTGTGCGTCGGGCCGAGGGGAGGCCCGGAAGGGCGATGAAGTGAACAGCCTTAGAAAACCGGTCAGTGACCGTCATGATGGTATTAAGGTCATTGACTGGTGGGAGCCCTGTGACGAAGTCCAACCCCACATGGGACCAGGGGCGGCTGGGTACCGGAAGAGGTCTGAGGGTACCAACCGAGGCCTGGTTGGATGTCTTGGAGCGGGCGCAGACGTCACAGGCGCTCGTATAGTCCTTTACATCCCTCTCCATACGTGGCCACCAGAGAGCTCGTTTGAGGAACCTAAGAGTCTGTGAGAAGCCCGCGTGGCCAGACAGGCGTGATGAGTGGGCCCAGGACAATGCCTCGCTGCGACAGGCCGTGGGGACGTAGAGCCGACCCGCGGGGGTCTCTGGAGGCGCGGGATCGTCTCGGAGGGCGTTTTGGATAGCCTCCTCCAGTGGCCACCTCAGGTGGGCCAAGAAACGGTGCTCGGGGAGGATAGGTACCGGCTCGGACGTGGGCGTTGGGTGTGTGAACTGGCGGGAAAGGGCATCCGCCTTCTGGTTCTTTGTCCCTGGGCGGTAGGCAAGATGGAATTCATAGGGCTCAAAGAAGAGGGCCCAGCGGGCC